TAGAAACTCTCGGATCGAGTCCACGTGCATCCAGGCGTGGATACACCTGGAGTACACCCTGAGCCTGAGGCTCCGCAGCGCCGGGGCCGTGACGGGCGAGATGCCCTGCAGCAGCTCGCCCGGCACCGCGTCCACGTCCACCTCGAGGTGCTGCAGAGCCGGCAGCGAGGGCAGCGCGCTCAGCAGCGGGTCCAGCTGCGGGAAGTCCTGCACCCTGTCGTTGTCTATGACGAGCGACTCCACCTGGGACCGGCCGGACGCGCCCAGGGCCGCCACCAGATCCACGCCGGCGTCAGCGGGGCTGTCGGCGCCCGGCCGGTACTGCAGGGTGACCTTGCGCAGCTGCTCGGCGCGCCGGAGGAAGGCCGCGGCCCCGGGGTAGTCGGGCTCCGACATCGGTATGACGTAAAGCGTCACCTCGCGCAGGGCCCCGCAGGCCACCGCGGCCTCCAGCCCGGGCACCGCGGGGCAGCTCAGCACCCGCAGTTTGGGCATGCCGGCGAGCAGATCGGACCGCTCTGTGCCGAGGAGGTCCTCATACGGCGCCCCGAGATGGCTCGAGAAGCTCACCTCCTCCAGGCTGTCGGTGAACAAGGACACAAAGAAATCACAGAAAATCTCGCTCGCTCCGTTGACTCTCCAGTCGAGACGCCTTAACTGTGCCAAGCGCTGGCGTTTGTAGACTTCGAGGAAGTTCTGCGTCTTGACGCACAAGTCGGTGTGGTAACCTACGTATCCCGAGACTGACAGTGTCTGCAGCTCGGGCACAACCACTGGAACTTTTAAGAGGAGAGCGCGAGCCCTCAGACCATTAGTGTAACTATCAAAGTACACACTGACGTGCCTCAGCCGGGCGAGCCTCCCCTGCTGGCGAATCGTCCGTTCGGCATCTCGATGGTTCCCCTTCCCCACCATCAAATCCACGTTTAACTTTGCAACCTCACAGCTGGTCGTGTTCAGGTTCCTGGCAACACAATCCCGCTCTGGGACGCCGACTTTCAGCTCGCCTAGGCACGGCGCCAGCCCCAGGGCGGCGCACTTCCAGCTGCAGTCATCTTCGTCAAGAAAGGTGCGTACCTCGATGCACCGGTGCCGCCACACGTCCGGGTGCAGGGCCAGCCCGCAGAGCCTCTTGCACACGAGCCGACACGCGAAGACGTCCTTCGCGTCCACGTACTTCAGCAGCACCAGCAGGACGTCGTCGGGCAGCTCCTCCATGCTCTCTGTAAGGTCACAATCACTCCGGTTACTACACTGGTCAGCCTGCCAGGCTGACCAGCCTGCTGTCGTTCTCGGCAAAACCGGCTTTTACTCTACGGGGTCAACTCTCGGAACTCACATTTGATTGTGTTTTGTTGGAGTGAAGCAACAGCGGGTTCAGATGCTTGCCGGCCTGGTCGAGTTTGTCTTGAGGTGGACCGCGACTGATCTGAAGACGAGCACTGGCACTGGAGTGCTGGCCGGCGCCCGAGAGAATCAAATTGAATCTGCCTTGCGATGTGCGTCAGTGGGTCCTCACCTCACGGAATAAGTGCAACCTGCTCCCTCCCGGTCTGGTTGCGAACTGCTTGCTCCGTACTGACAAGACGAGCAGTCGAGACCCGAGAGCTGGCTAGCAGATTTGTCTTGCGATGTGCTTCCTATGTGGCGGATTTTCCAGCGAATGTGGGCAATGTGGGGGTCGGGTCAGCCAGCCACCGCAGCGCTACCACGGGGTACCCGAGTTTGGGCTGCCCCCGCAGCCAAGCCAGGAAACCTTATTGTACCCGTGTTGCCGCCTACTGCTTCAGCTTGCTGAAGAAAAGCATACAATATTGTTTTTGAACTCAGTTTATGCACACACAGAAGTCCGGCGCGAGCCAGAAAAATTGTCCTTTAATATTTAGAGGGTATAAGAGCTGAGTCAGGAGTCAGGGTCATGCACGGAAACGTAGGCCATCACCCGCCCGACGCACTGTAGGTGCCAGGCTAGGCCAGATGGTCGAGGAAAAGGAAAAACCGAGGACAATGCGGGGGCCAGGGGGGCGTGGTGGCTCCTACCTGCAGTAGGCAAGCGCATCCCGCCGAATAGCCACGAAGGTTTTACTCGGTTTTACCATTGTACATGCAATAGATAAAACAGAAAACGGGTGACCGCATGCAGAAGGATGCCTCCAGCTAAATCTGTGACGCAATGCGTCTTGTTTCACAGCACAGGTCGCCTAGCAACTCACACCCTCAGGGAAAGCATAAAATTGCAACCCGCAAAAAAAAGAGAAGAGAAGGGAAGCCGCGGTTTCTTTTCTAGCGTACCGATCGGCCGAGCGCCGGCACGGTAGGCAGCCCATTTGCCGCCAGGTGGCTGGCTGGGGTGGAATGCTCGGGGAGAGGGGCACGAGATAGATACCAGTCGCGGCTGCGCAGCTGATAACTGTAAACTGACACCAGCCCAACCCGTTGGATGACCCCAGCCGTAAAGGTCACGGACTGCGATACGTTTCCCGTGATGGTTGTTTGAGAAAGCGCACGAGTCGTGCGCGCGGTCAACGACCTGACGGGCGCGGCGCCGAGAACAACGTGTACGACAACTATGGAGCTGCAGTTACGCTGCGGGTGGAATGGGAAGAATTTCAACCCAGTTTCGAGAATGAATAATGAAAAGAATGCAGTGTGTGTGTGTGTGTGTGTGTGTGTGTGTGTGTGTGTGTGTTTTGTTGACGGTTTGTGTGTTTCTTTCCCGTATGAAAAGTGAGGCAACAAACCAGGCCGGCGGGCCGGCGCGGCGCCGCCGTGCGTGCTGGCCGCGCCAGGGAGGCACGCTGGTCGATAGGCAACCGGCAAAGCACTCCGGGTAATGTCAGGCTGTCTGCCTGCCTACCGCCCAGGGGCCGCGGCACGTCAAGCCATCGTGCGTCTCTCTCTCTCTCTCTCTCTCTCTCTCTCTCTCTCTCTCTCTCTCACGTTCGCGTCAGCTGGAGCCAACGAGTGTGACAAGGACAGGGGGCCACTTTGGGACGCGATGAAGTGTTAATGACCCGCTGAACCGACGGGGCCGGGGGTTGGTGGTG